CAAGAAACAAGCATCTTTAAATTTCACGGCTGCAGTCACCATCTACAGTGATTTTGGAGCCCAAGAAAATAAACTCTATCACTGTCTTCATTGTTTCCCCGTGTATTTCCAATAAAGTGATGAGACTGGATGCCATGATCTTAGTTTTTTTAATGTTGAGGGGGTTTTTTTAATATTTATTTTTATTTATTGGCTGCACAGGGTCTTAGTTGTGGCATGTGGGATCTAGTTCCACAACCCGGGATCAAACGCAGGGTCCCAGCATTGAGAGCTCAGAGTCTTAGCCACTGGACCACAAGGGGAGTGCTGAATGTTGAGTTGTAAGCCAGCTTTTTCACTCTCCTCTTTCACTTTCATCAAGAGGGCTCTTCAGTTCCTCTTCACTTTCTGCCATAAGGGTGGTGTCATCCACATATCTAAGGTTATTGATATTTCTCCCAGCAATCTTGATTCCAACTTGTGCTTCATCCAGCCTGGCATTTCACACACTCTGCATATAAGTTAAATAAGCAGGGAGACAATATACAGCTTTGATGTACTCCCTTCCTGATTTGGAACCAGTGTGTTGTGCCATGTCCAGTTCTAACTGTTGCTTCTTGACCTCCATACAGATTTCTCAAGAGGCAGGTCAGGTGGTCTGGTATGCCCATCTCTTTAAGAATTTTCCACAGTTTGTTGTCATCCACAATCCACATAGTCAAAGGCTTTGGCATAGTCAATAAAGCATATGTTTTTCTAGAACTCTCTTCCTTTCTCGATGATCCAATGGATGTTGGCAATTTGATTTCTGGTTCCTCTGCCTTTCCTAAACCCAGTTTGAACATCTGGAAGTTCACGGTTCACGTATTGCTGAAGCCTTGCTTGAAGGATTTTGAGCACTACTTTGCTAGCATGTGGGATGAGTGCAACTGTGTGACAGTTTGAACATCCTTTGGCATTGCCTTTCTTTGGGATTGGAATGAAAACTGACCTTTTCCAGTCCTGTGCCCATTGCTGAGTTTTCCAAATTTTCTGGCATACTGAGTGTGGCACTTTCATAGCATCATCTTTTAGGATTTGTAATAGCTCAACTGGAATTCCATCACCTCCACTAGCTTTGTTCATAGTGATGCTTCCTAAGGCCCACTTGACTTCACATTCCAGGATGTCTGACTCTAGGTGAGTGATCACACCATTGTGATTATCTGGGTCATGAAGATCTTTTTTGTATAGTTCTTCTGTGTAGTCTTGCCACCTCTTTTTAATATCTTCTGCTTCTGTTAAGTCCATACCGTTTCTTCCTTTGAAATGTTCCCTTGGTGTCTCTAATTTTCTTGAAGAGATCTCTAGCCTTTCCCATTCTGTTGTTTTCCTCTATTTGCACTGATCACTGAGGAAGGCTTTCTTATCTCTTCTTGCTAATCTCATTATTAGGCTCAGTGTTTTTTTCTTCTTTTTAGGAAAGGTTTCTTTAAGAAACTGCTAGTAGTTTAAACACATAAAGCTGATTTTTCTTCTTGTGTCTGACACTGTCACCTAATGACCCCATTTCCTAAAATTGCAATGACAGCCTTTCTTACAAGATGATTGGTCTAATCTCTCCTCCACACAATGGCACACAGCACTTTCAGTTCAGTTCATTTCAATCGCTCAGTCGTGTCCGACTTTTGCAACCCTATGAATCGCAGCACGCCAGGCCTCCCTGTCCATCACCAACTCCCAGAGTTTACGCAAACTCATGTCCATCGAGTCAGTGATGCCATCCAGTCATCTCATCTTCTGTCGTCCCCTTCTCCTCCTGCCCCCAATCCCTCCCAGCATCAGAGTCTTTTCCAATGAGTCAACTCTTCGCATCAGATGGCCAAAGTACTAGAGTTTCAGCTTCAGCATCAGTCCTTCCAATGAACACCCAGGACTGATCTCCCTTAGGATGGACTGGTTGGATCTCCTTGTAGTTCAAGGGACTCTCAAGAGTCTTCTCCAACACCACACTTCAAAAGCATCAATTCTTCAGCACTCAGCTTTCTTCACAGTCCAATTCTCACATCCATACCTGACCACTGGAAAAACCATAGCCTTGACTAGACGGACCTTTGTTGGCAAAGTAATGTCTCTGCATTGTAATATGCTGTCTAGGCTGCTCATAACTTTCCTTCCAAGGAGTAAGCGTCTTTTAATTTCATGGCTGCAATCACCATCTGCAGTGATTTTGGAGCCCAAAAAAATAAAGTCTGACACTATTTCCACTGTTTTCCCATCTATTTCCCATGAAGTGATGACACAGCACTTTAGTCCAGCAAAATTTTAATGAACATGTAAAAACTAAGCTCTCTCATGTTACAAAGAATGGATTATGTAATGTTTGTCTCCAAATTCTTAGATTTTTTTTTTTTTAGAAATAATTTTTGAAGGGTGGATTGATGCATCTGAATGTTAAACTTCTATACAAAATAAGAGAATATGAGAGCAGAAAAAGACCTCAGCAAGTGTGACAATTAAAAAAAAAACTGTTCTCATTGTTAGAAAAACTAAAGGGGGAGAAGATACTGAACATAGAAAAAGAGACCCACTGGCCTCACTCAAGTGTTTCTATCTTTCCCAAAAGAAACACGATATGGTTTTCTGGTTGATACTCACATTGAGAGCTATGCTAAGCATACATTACAGATCACAGTTGAGAGTAAGACCTGTCTTTCCTCCAGTTGATCACAAAGTTCTGGACAGTGTTTATTTGATTAACATAATATTAGTGTGCACAGGTTGGCTCTGTTTAGTTCCATCATTATACCAAGATTCACTAAACAATTGCCATGGACCAAACACTATACGGGGTGCTGGGCCAGACATGATCAACAGTACAGTCTCCTGCCTTTAATGGATGATCCTGTAACCCAGGACAGCAGTCATTACGAAGGTGCCTTCCACAAACTGAAGACCAGGGTGAAGGGATGGCCAGACCAACACAAGCCATCCCTGCTGCTACAGAAATCACTCAAAGCCAAGCCTGGTTGGGATGGGACAGCAGAGCTTATCAGTTTAAAGGCAATGTTATGCCATAGGCCATAATTGGGTTGCTGGTTGGGCACCACTCACCCCCTCCCTCTCCCCCATCTCAGACCATGTCTCTAATCTGAACTGACTCACTGGGCAAAGATAGATGAAACCTGCTGTTAGGAATGAGGTCATTTTTTTCTTTTTTCAAAAGAAGTTTCTTTTTATTTCTCTAGGTTTCCCTGGCATCAAAATTCCACATGGGAGTGAAGTGATTTAGAACAAGTAGACAAACCCTGGATCCAAGCCTTGGCTCTGCCAGTGCTAATTACATAACTGTGGGCTTCTCTGGGCTTTCTATTCTTAATCTATAAAACTAACTAGTTGTCTGGGTGCTCTTTGAAGTTCCTTCTAAACCTAAAATTTTTTTAAGCCATTAGAGTTACCAGATTTAGCAAGTGTGAAAATACAAGCCACCCAAGGAACATTAAATTTCAGAGACACCATTATATTTTAGTATAAGAGTGTCCCATGTCCTACATTTCACCTGGAAACCCTAATTCCATGATATATTTGCCTCTCCAGGATGAAAGCAAAAATTCCAGCAAAGGAGAAATGCCTGTTCTTGTGGGAGAGGTTGTCAAAATTGTTAACATTCTTAAGCAGATTTATGTCAGGAAACGGAGGCTCTGCTGGGTGGCTTGACTTCTCTGCTCAGATTAGACAGGGCAGCTATAACAGGTAGGTGAGGATGGGGAAGCTGCTCCACCTTGACCCTACTGTTGGCAAAGATACGTTCAGTGGTACATGTGTGTAGGCCTCAGGGTCCAGCTCCTGCGTGCAACCCTCAACCCTGTGGATACTGAAAGATTTAAAGGCATCCCTGTGGATACCAAAGATCCAAGCATCTCAGGAAGGCTAACTGGGAGGTTGAGCTCAAAAGACAAAAGAAAGAACAATGGGGAACGGAAAGAAAGAATCTAAGGCTCACTATCAAATAATCATGAACAGATGAGTTTTTAAACATAACATAAACTCCAACTGGGAACAGAAGATGAAACTGCCAGCAGAAATTAAGGTCTAGGTGGGAGAAGGGAAGACCCAGGAGGCTAAACCTGTAACCAAAGAGACACAAAAAGGCCTGCGGAAAAGGCCCTGCATGTCTTGGGTCCATTTTCTCTATATATTGGACTTTATTCTCTGATAGGAAATATGATCAGAGTTATTCCCACCCAAACTGCATGAAATGGGCTCACACAGAAACAAGACAATCGGTTTTCCTCCCCAAAAAAGAAAGAGGCACTAAAGGAACAAAACCAAAAACATGTGCAGACTAAACTGTCAAGTTTATCTGCTTTGGGCTGGGATTTTTTTACAGCTCCAGGTATTAATGCCAACTGTTTTATAGTAGTCAGATATAGGCTGATTTGCTTCCTTTTTTTTTTTTCTAATAATTAACATGGGGAAGTGGATGATCCACTCTTCCATAAAGTCAGTGGTTTTTTATTCTTTTGAATATTTTCAGAATGTTCAAAATTCCCTGGAATATTTAGAATATAAGGGGAAGTAACTAAGAACGAATTATTGGGATGGAAATGTGGGGACTACTCTTAAAGTCAACATTTATTGAGAATCTACATTGAGCCTGACACTGCACCACACATTTTTATAAACTTCTCAATTTTGCAAAGTAGGTGTCATTCCTTTTCCAAAGGGAAAAAAAAAAATTTACATCTGCATCTCAGATAGGTGAAGTGACTTGCCCAAGGCTGGACAGCAGCTAACAAACAGACGTGGGCTGGAAAGATCCCATGAAGAAGGGCATAGCAACCCACTCCACTATTCTTGCCTTAAGAATCCCATGGACAGAGGAACCTGGCAATCTACAGTCCATAGTGTCGCAAAGAGTCGGACATGACCAAAGCGACAGCACAACAAGTAGACCACCTGAGATTCCAGCCCTTATCATCTGACTTCAAGTTCAACTCTTAATTTTTAAAATGTCTTTATGGTTTTTGCTTTCTTTTAAGGCAAAGAAGCCAACCTGCTAATGCAAAATCTGAACAAGTTGCAAACTCCTGAGGAAAAGTTTGATTTTTTATTCAAGAAATACGCTGAATTGGTAAGTTCTTTGATTAGCCCTTTTGCCAGAAAGATTTAAGCTCTGGTTAGAGCTGAGAAAAGGAGGTTGTTAGCTTTTCAGGTACATCATTATAGACTGGCTGGTTACCTCAGGCAAGTCAAAATCAGAATTCACAAAGGCAGATTTTTTAAATCTGGAAATTTTTTAAATCAGGAAAGAAAGAAACAGAAAAACTGAGGAATAAAAGCGAAAGGAAGAAAGAGAACAGAGTTGGAATCATTCCACCTTCAATTATGTGCAGGATTTGAGAGATGGAGGAGCAAATCAGAGATAATTAAAAATTGTGAAAATTTAAAAGTTCTTTTTGGCTTTGCAATAAAACAGAAGTACACTAGAAATAAAAAGTAAACTTTCAACCGGTTTTTAAGCACAGGTTTTTTGAGGGAACAGTCTTCTCAAGTAAGGCAGAGGTTGACTTAATTCCACCCCTCAGTTTGTGAAACATTCTCATTTATTCCTGATGAATGCATTCATTCATTCATTTATTCTCCATGATCTACATTCTTCTCCTGCCCCCCACAATGGCAAAGCACTTGACATGGATTTTGTTTCCAGTTATAGATCCTCCACATGCAGTCTCCCTCTCAACAAGTTAGGGCCAATGGCTGGAAGAGAAGCCACTCCCAGACTTCAGAGAATCCATGAAGTGGATGGTCTCCTCACCAGTACTCTTAAAATAGTCCACTTGGAAGAAAGAAAAGGGCTCAGCAAAGCCAGCACCACTAGTTTCAGTGAAGCCTCACAAAAACTGGCTAAAGGGGTTGCACCTGAGGTCCATGCACCAGCCTCGAGGTGTACGAGACCCACTGTGGAGATGTGGTGTCCTCTCAAGTGGGGCTGGGCAATATGCCACCTCTCTCTCATTTCGGCTTCTTTTTCTCATTTTTTTTCACTTACTCTTTTCTTTCAGAGAAGCAGTGACAGCCCCCCACACACACAACAAAACAATTCCTCCTGGCAGTAGGTTGGACTGCCCCTGAAGGCAGATTTACCTCACAGCAAAAAAGCTTAAGAGTCAGAGCCTCTCACTTGCATAGGCTCCTGTGAAGCCCTGAAGAAAAAATTCTTTTTTTTTTTTTAATTTTCTTTTTTTTTAAAGAAGGTCTCCAAAACTGAGACCCACAAACTACTTAGGTCTCTGGTTGCATCTTATCCCTATTGATGGAGTAGAGTTTATGAGTGGCTTGTTTACCTTCTTTTTCACTCTGATTTTAATCCTGTGATCCCTGTGTAGTCTTTCCTTTCTTCCTTGTACATTCATATACATCATTATGCTTTATTGTCATGCAACAGACCCAAAAAAGGGGCTTTCCAGGTGGCGCTACTGGTAAAGAACCCACCTGCCAATGCAGAAGACATGAGACTTGGGTTCAATCCTTGGGTCAGGAAGATCCCCTGGAGCAGGGCACAGCAATCCACTCCAGTATTCTTGCCTGGAGAACCCAATGGACAGAAGAGCCTGGCGGGCTACAGTCCATAGAGTCACAAAGAGTCAGCCACGACTGAAGCGACTTAGCACAGCACAGCACAGGCTTAAAGAAATTCTGAAACCCTGACTGACTAGTGACTGTTTAACTCTGCCAACAATGCTTTTAAATTATTTTTTAATCACATAAACTACATCACAATGATATAAGGAAAAAGCTGAATACACAAGTAAAAATATCTCTAATCCTACAATCTAAAACATGAATGCTGCTTTATCTGTCTTCCTTTTCAGTTCTACTATACAAAGATACCTTTTGTATACCTACCATCATTAGGTGCATAGAATTTAGTATCTGTTTTTCAGCTCATGTGACAAACATTTTCACATGTATTCTTCATAATTATATTTTGTCAAAGCTATGAAATTTTCCATTAATTGACTCTATTCTACTGGTTCTCTAGTTTGGGGACATTTATATTCCTTCTGTTGTTTGTTTTACCAAATATTGATGCAGTGAACATCATCACGCATGAGATTTGTTCCTTCTCTTTTATGATCCAAGGGAAAAGTTCCAGAATTGGGATTACTAAATCAAGCAGTATAAATGTTTTTAATGGCCATCTTGTTTTCCAAAAGAATGGTAGAAATTTCTAAAGCAAGTATTAGTGTATCAATTTTACTGCAACTTGTTTAATACTGGCTGTTAACCACTCATGAACAATTTCAGTGCCATAAAACAGTAGGTGTCAAACATAATATTTTTCCCCCAAATCTGACCCCATCCTCAATGGTCCATCCTTGCTCTTTTTGATAATTACTACATTGATTTCCCTTTAATTTACCCTTCAATTTACTAATTCACACCAAGGCCATTCATATTTAGTTTCTAGTACCATGCCCCATACTTAGATGAACTGGGCATCTTCCAGACTATTACTCTTTATGTTGCTGTAGCCCCACAGCAGTACATCAGAAAAGAATCACTTATCCAGTCTGACCAAGATCTTTCTTATGAGCCAGGGCTGTTCACTCTGGACTTCAAGAATTCCCCAAACCTACTTATCCTCCTAGCCAAGCAGTCGATCCCACAGAGGTTATTTTTTCCAGAAATTCTACTCAGCTCGGACTTACTATACTTTGGCATTTGTATCATATCCTATAATAAACTTTTAAACTCAAAAGATCATCCTAGAAAAAATAAATAGGAGAAAATTGACCTCAAAACCCTATTACATATCCCTATGAAGAATTTCAATCTTTTACTTGGAGACTAAAAGCTATGTCCCTACTCACTGATTCAGAAATTAATATAGAGAGTGTCTGGAATTTAAGTGTTAACATAGAATAAATTGTTAAATTCAAAAGCTGTGAATCACATTGCTACTCAAGTTCACTCACCCTTACAGATTCTAAATCCTGTAATATCAACAGCCGTATTTTATTAGTAAATAAGTTCATAAATAAATAAGGACACATCATGACTAAATTAAGAAATGACCTGGAAGAAATATTTTTGCAAATTTCCTCAATATATAAGTAGTTACAACATCAAAAACTACTTGGCATTAATTCCACTTTTTTAACTTAATGATTAAAAAAAAGAGAGAGAACAAGAGAAACTGCAGATAAAAATCCTATATGCCTGTTAGAATTGGACAGAAGGCATACGTCTAAATGTATTATTAAATCACAGAGGCAGCATTTGACTGAAGTTCATTCAGTTGTACTGTTTGCTTTCATCCATTAAGAAACACCATATGCAATCACATAAACTTGAAGTAGTTGAACAAAATTAGTCACACTCTAAAAAGAACTGTCAGAAAGTTAAGGGGTTTTATTTAGAGCAAAGCAAGATAGACCTAGCAATATTTCAAATGTGTATGATCCTTCAGTAAAACTAGAACATTTAAATGGTCAGTGAGCAAGCACAAATCATCTCTCCCAACTTACGAAACATAAGCAAATATCCTTCTCCTGATGCTCAGATAAATCCACATAGGGCAGTGTTACCCCAAAGAGGGAAAATCTTGCCAACCATGGGACAACATGCAATGTCTCTGGAGATATTTTGGATATCACAGGTGAGGATGCTACTGGTCTCTAGTGGGTAGGGGTCATCTGCTAAATAGCCTACAGTGCACAGGACAAGCCCCACAGCAAAGAACTGTCACCAAATGTCGATAGTGCTAAGGCTGAGAAACCCTGACACATTTGTTTAATCTTCCAAAGGAAAAGTCTAAACCAAAATGGCAACAGCAGTAATAATAACATATACATTTCAAGAAAGGACAACAGCTCATTTAAAGTCCACACACAAGGACAAGTAGTTTCATCCATATCTAATAACTATGGTGCAAAATGAAGTTAGCATGATAAATATATAATAAAATATCATCAATTTTCCAATTGAACCTCAAGAAAGATACCAATTTCAATTAATATTTATAGTAATATGGACCTAGTTTTTCCTGGGTCACTAATAAGTACTAATAACGCTCACTAATAAGTAAAAACATACATAAGTATGAAGATAGAATATCATGAATGAATATCCCCAGCTTAATCTGGCAAAGGTTTACCATGGACATTTCAGTGTAATGGGAGGGAGGGAGGGAGGAAAAGATTGAAATAAGATGTGAACTGAAGAAAGTGTGACAATCCTGTTCACCCAGCTCAGAAAAAACAAATGCTTTTTCAAGATAAGGTAACTAACTAAGACACATATCAGGGCTTACAGTGTGTGTGTGTGTATCCATTTGTATCTGGCTCTGAGACGCACCAGGGGCACCTGCAGTCGGAAGAACCCACGAGCTTCCAGGCCTTTTCCTCCTCATTGGCCAACAAGATAATTATCACAGGGAGTACCCACCTGGCTTACGCACCATTCAGATTCTAAGGGAACTCAGTCCAGTGGAGGAAATGGCTCTGAAAAACAAGCTCCAGCTTGCTCATGGTCACACTGTCAGATCCCAGTCCTACTCCCAGTATGCAGTCTCTGAAGGCTTAATTTATATTAACAAATATTTATGGAATTCTAGTTGGAATGGGGGAGGCTGAATCCACACTCTCCCATTCCAACTAGAATTCCATAAATATTTGTTGCCAAATTTACCAGATAAAAATACAGAATGCCCAGTTACCTTTGCATTTCAAGTAAACCAACAGCAAACGGAAATACTTTGAATATACTTTTACTAAAAACTTATTCCCTATTTATTCGAAACTAAAATTCAACTGGGTGTCCTACATTTTGCCTGGCAACCCCTAGTTCAGAACTTTAGCATCCTGAGACAAAAAGCCCAGGGGTCCATTGGTTTCATTTTCCGTGTTGCCCTCGGTACTTTAGCTGTGGCTGCTGAGAGGAGGCCCCACCTGCGCTCAGCAGAAGTAAGTGTCATGATTTACTCGCCATAAGCAAGGAGGGTGTGGGGATGGGCAGAGAGCACGGCTTGTTACCGACACTCCCCTTGCGTGCTGCTGAGTTGTGCAGCGGCTATTTTGGAAACTTTAGGGACAGGTCATCAGTCCTTAAATAGTCGAGGAGTACATGCTCCTCTCCCTTCTCATAATCCACACACTTCACCTTCTGTTTACTAGCTGCTTTTCGCTTTTCTACTTTTAAAAATAGCTGCTAAAGCTTGTTTTGAGAAAGAGTTGTGAAAATTTAAATGTAAACCATGCAGACACACCACTGACCATTTTCCTACAGCAATGCATTATCATAAATTCTGAAACTTGCCTTTCTATACTGACTGGCTTCATTAGACTCAAGAAAGATAAAACTGTTTCTAGACTACTGAAAAGAAGATCAAAGTAAAAGAGATCAATAATAATAATGATAAAGGAAAAACCTATAAATGTTATGCTTTTAAATCATATCTACAAGTATTGCCATGGGAACACTCATGAAGTTCATTTGACTCCAGAGGGGGCAGTGATGATAGCAACAAATTTTCCGAACAACCAGAGGGTGGTCTTTAGGCATTTCCTCTTCTGCTCCTATCAACTCAACAGAGATTCCTGCCATTTTCTTTCACATTTGCACCCCCACATCTAGCTGGATGAACATCGCACTGAGCAAAGGAAGTTAAAACTCCTACAAAAGAAACAGGCACAGATCCAAAAAGAAAAGGACCAGCTACAAAGTGAACACAGCAGAGCTATCCTGGCGAGAAGCAAACTGGAGAGTCTGTGCCGGGAGCTGCAGAGACACAACAAGACACTGAAGGTATGTGTCACCAAGGCCCCAAATAACACACTTTCTTGCACACTTTGTAGGCACAGGCTTCTGCTATTTGTGGTGTGAGTTTTAGAACTGGAGAGATTTGGGTTCAAATACTAGCCCGGCCACTTGCTCACTTGTGACCTGCAATGAATTATTTTACCACCCAAGCCTATTACCTCATCCATAAAATGGGGATTATACCAAAGTCACTGTGTGGTCAGGAAAAAAATTAAAGGAGAACACATATGTAAGGTGCTCATGTGGTACCCAATGACTAGTAGAACTTTAGTAAAATGTGTTCTATTCCTCTTTATGTTGAGTTTGTTCTGTTTTGTTTTTTAAGGTGGACCTTAGTTCCACTCTTTAAAATAAAAATTTATAAAAATTCAACATTTTTTGTCTGAAAATGAAATCTGTGTGACATGAAACAAGTTGACACAAAGCTAACTGACAGAATAAGGGAAGATTGAGGGCTAAAATGTCAACAGCCATCTGAAAAAATAAGCTACTTGAAAAAACACTGACACTCTCTAAGCTTAATTATTCAGTCTAAAAATAATAGACTGATCACTTCAGTCAGTTTGCATTGGCTTCATTAATCACAGTGTAAGCTCTAGCAGTGTGGTTAATTTGATTACACACAGATACTAGCTCCACTCAATGAAGCAAGATGCAGAGTTCTCCAAGACAGTACTGCATGCAGCCATAATCCCCTTTCCAGCTGAAGATCCTAAAGCTTTTGACAAACTAGAATTAGACAGCAATATTCCTGTGATATAATTATTATTACCTATGTTTAAAATGAGATACTTTAAGAAACAAATGAAGATCATTGCTGAGTTTGTACAATGGAATTAGGACGAAAAATAGAATTGGATAATGGCTCCTCATATTCCAAAATTGGGGGGTTTTTGAAGTAGAAAAAGAAAATGATTTGTTTTGGTATCAGTTTTAAGAGGTGCGGTCTCCCTGCCTCCAGTCTTGCTTTCTCCAATCCATCTGCCACAAGGATCCTTCTAAAATGCCAATCTGGCCATCTTCCTGCGTGAAACTTCAGTGGCTCTTCACTACCCTTAGTGTGGTGGATGAGGTCCTACATGGCCCGTGATTACCTCTCTGACTCTTACCACCTCCACTGCTTTCTCTGCTTTGGTCACTAAAAGCTCAGGTCATTAAAATTCCACACAGTTCTTGACATCGTCTGTTAATCTCTCACTTTTTTTAATCGGAGGATAACTGCTTTACAATGCTGTGTTGGTTTCTGCCAAATGACATTATGAATCAGTCATAACTATATATATATATATATATATATACATACATATATATACACACACACACACATCCCCTTCATGGATCACAGCCTCATCGTGACAAAGGGGCTTGTGTAACTCAATGAAGCTACGAGCCATGCCATGCAGGGCCACCCAAGATGGACGGGTCACAGTGGAGAGTTCTAACAAAACCAACTCAGTGGACATTAATTTGAGCAATCTCCAGGACATAGGGAAGGACAGGGAAGCCTGATGTGCTGCAGGTCATGAGGTTGCAAAGAGTTGGACACAACTTAGGAACTGAACACTGAACACACACACACACATATATGTATATATATATACACATACTATATCCCCTCCATCTTGAGGCTCTTCCCACCCCCACAATCAGTTTTTGATATTTGGAAAATGAAATGCCAGGGTGATGAACTTTAACTCTCAAATTACGAGTTGTAGAAGATGGACTTCTGGCATCTCTTTAATCATTGCTCTGGGACCATCAAAACTCAGGTTAGATGGGAATGGGGGCATTATCCTCAACTTCAGATATGTAATCAAGTAATAGCACTCTGTACCTACATAAATCTCCCAGCTTTCAGTAGTGGTGTAGCATAAGGAGATAAAAGTTAAATCTCCTTTGATGATGTGGATGGAATGATGTGGTGTAGTTGCTTTGGATAACATTCAAAGACAGAATGACGGAAGTGGCAGGAGACCCTGTATAAATATTTGCACACCTTCAGTAATGACTCCCAGTTGTGGACAATGGAATTAAGTAGTATTACTATGCCAGGATTTGTGCTGAGTGCTTTACATATGTTATATTGTCCAATCTTCACAAAAACTATGAGTTAGTATCTCCATTTTATTGAAGGAATTGAGACTGAGCAATCAAAATCTGTTGTCTAAGGTCATGAATATTTTGTCAAAAGCAGAACTCAAATTCAAAACATTTTCTGATTCCCCTCCTGATTGTTTCTTTGACCCATGGATTATTTAGAAGTATTGTTTAATTTTTATAGCCCCTTTACATGGTCTATCTTGATGAACATACTAAATGCACTTGGAAAAAATGTCTGTTTTTCAGAAGTTAGGTGTAATACTACATAAGTAATAATTAACTCTAGAGAATTTATGTCTTTACTGAATTTCTGACTTATTCCTCTATCAATTGCTGAGGGATGGGTGTGAAAAATCTCCAACTATAATTGTGAAATTGCCTACTTCTTTCAATTATGTCAAGTTTTGATTCATGTATTAATATTTTGAAGTATTAATACGACATGTATACTATTGTGATTTCTAAGTCTCGTTGATAAACTGACTTTCATCAATATGAATGTCTACATTATCTAATATCAATCTAGCCACTGTAGCTTTCTTACTCATTGCTTGCATGGTATATCTTTTTCCATCCACTTATTTTCAACCTGGGTTTTTCTATGCATTTCTATTTAAAATGCATCCCTTATAGTTGAGCCTTCTTTCTTTTCATTCTTACAATATCTGCCACTTAACTGGAGTGATTACTGTTGTTGTTTAGTTGCTACATCATATCTGACTCTTTTGCAACCTTACGGACTGTAGCCCACCAGACTCCTCTGTCCATGGGATTTCCCAGGCAAGAATACTGGAGTGGGTTGCCAGTTCCTTCTCCAGGGGATCTTCCCGGCCCAGGAGGAATCTGGGACTCCTGCATTAGCAGGTGGATTCTTTATCACTGAGCTGCCAGGGAAGCCCCTTAACTGGAGTAGTAGTCCATTAATATAATGTAATTATTGGAGTGGTTGGATATGTCTTCCATTTTATTATTTATTTACTATTTGTCAAATCTGTTTTTTCTTCCTCTGCTCTTATCCTGCCTTATCTGGATTACTGGAAATTTTTTAAATTTTTTATTTTATCTCATCTCTTGGATTTCTAATTATATCTCTTTCCATTTTTAGTGGTTGTTCTGTGATTGCTATAGATATTCTTAACTTGTCACAGTCTACCTGGAGTTCAAACTGTATCACTTCATATAATATGTAGAAATGCTACAAATAGAAGGTCCTTTTATTGCTCCCTATCTTTATATTTATATAATTTATAAAACTCTTGAGGCAATGCTATAATTTTTACTTTAAACAATTTCATATAGTCCTTTAAAAATTCAAGGCAAAACTGTCTTTTTTCAAACCCACATTTTACCATTTCTGATGCTTTTTATTCCAAACTTTACATTTCTCTTTGGTGTCACTCCCTTCAGCCTGAAGAACTTCCTTTAGTATTTCTTATAGTATAGGTCAATTCTTTTATTTGCTTTTTATCTTTAAAATGTCTTTATTTTGCTTTATGACTTAAGGCTATATTCATTGGATAAAGAATTCTGGCTTGACAAGAATTTTTTTTCTTTTCTTTCTCTTACTCAGTCTTTTATAGATTCTGGCCTCCACAATTTCTGATGAAAATCAACAATAATTTGAATTACTGTTCTCTTGATGTGATATGTCATTTATATCTGACTACTTTTAAGATTTTTCTATGGATTTTTGGCTTTTGGAATTTTGCTTTATGCCCAAGTGTGGCTTTCTTCATATTTATCCTACTTGGGATTTGTTGAGCTTCTTATACCTATATCCCTGGTAGCTCAGTTGGTAAAGAATCCGCCTGCAATGCTGGAGACCCTGGTTCAATTCCTGGGTTGGGAAGATCCACTGGAGAAGGGATAGGCTACCCACTCCAGTATTCTTGTCTAGAGAATTCCATGGACTGTATAGTTCATGGGGTCACAAAGAGTTGGCTACGAGTGAGCAACTTTCACTTTATATCTGTAACTTTCACCAAATTTCAGCAAGTTTCAGTCATTATTTCTTCAAATATTTTTTTCTGCCTCATTCCCTCTCTCTCTCCCATTCCCCTTCTAAGATTTTAACTCCATGTGGGTTAGATCTTTTGATATTGTCCCACAGGTCCTTGAGTCTCACTTCATGTTCTTCATCAGTCTTTTTTCTCCTTGATCTTTAAATTAGATATTTCAAACTGACCTATCTTCATATTCACTGACTCTGTCCTCTGTCATCTCTATTCTACAGTAAGCCTACTTAGTGGTTTTTACATTTCATATTTTGTAAGTTTTAACTCTAGAATTTCCACCTTGCTCTTTCTTACAGATTATTTTTCTCTTGACAGCTCCTATCTTTTTATTGAGATATTTTCCTTTTTATCAATGAACATAGTATTTTGAGCCTCAAATTATACCAAAAGACCCACCTTGTAAGAAATTAGTGTCTCAGGCAATATGATTTTAGTAAAGAAATAAGCAGGGTTTGTTATCAGAACATCACTGAATTTTAATGTGGAAAAGACTATAGGAATCATCTAGTCCAAGCTATTCATATGTCTATATGTAAATTAATGAAATTTGTTGATTCATTAAATAAACATTTACGGAATACCTGTAGATTGTGTGCCAGGCACAGCACTGGTTTTAAGATGCACAGTGATTCCTAAAAAGTTGTTTTCTTAGTTATTTCAGATTTTGTCCCTCAATTTTCTTTGCATTGTTAATTTTCACTTTGAATTTTGTGCATGATGAAGAAAACTTTACCTCAAACATTGCCCAAATGATTGTGTTTTCTTTATACAGTTCATTTCAGTCACTCATTCGTGTCCAACCCTTTGTGACCCCCTGAATCACAGCAAGTCAGGCCTCCCTGTCCATCACCAACTCCTGGAGTTTACGCAAACTCATGTCCATCGAGTTGGTGATGCCATCCAACCATCTCATCCTCTGTTGTCCCCTTCTCCTCCTGCCCTCAATCCCTCCCAGCATTAGGGTCTTTTCCAATGAGTCAACTCTTCGCATCAGGTGGCCAAAGTATTGGGGTTTCAGCTTCAGCATCAGTCCTTCCAATGAACACCCAGGACTGATCTCCTTTAGGATGGACTGGTTAGATCTCCTTGCAGTCCAAGGGACTCTCAAGAGTCTTCTCCAACACCACAGTTCAAAAGCATCAATTCTTTGGCACTCAGCTTTCTTTATAGTCCAACTCTCACAACCATACATGACTATTGGAAAAACCATAGCCTTGACTAGATGGACCTTTGTTGGTAAAGTAATGTCTCTGCTTTTTAATATGCTGTCTAGGTTGGTCATAACTTTCCTTCCAAGGAGTAAGCGTCTTTTAATTTCATGGCTGCAATCACCATCTGCAGTGATTTTGGAGACCAAAAAAATTAAGTCTGACATTGCGTCCACTGTTTCCCCATCTATTTCCCATGAAGTGATGGCACGAGAGGCATGATCTTAGTTTTCTGATTGTTGAGCTTTAAGCCAACTTTTTCACTCTCTTCTTTCACTTTCATCAAGAGGCTTTTTAGTTCCTCTTCACTTTCTGCCATAAGGGTGGTGTCATCTGCTTATCTGAGGTTATTGATATTTCTCCCGGCAATCTTGATTCCAACTTGTGCTTCATCCAGCCCAGCGTTTCTCATGATGTACTCTGCATGTAAGTTAAATAAGCAGGGTGACAATATACAGCCTTGCCATACTCCTTTTCCTATTTGGAACCAGTCTGCTGTTCCATGTCCAGTTCTAACTGTTGCTTCCTGACCTGCATACAGGTTTCTCAAGAGGCAGGTCAGGTGGTCTGGTATTCCCATCTCTTTCAGAATTTTCCACAGTTTATTGTGATCCACACGGTTGAAGGCTTTGGCATAGTCAATAAAGCAGAAATAGATGTTTTTCTGGAACTCTCTTCCTTTTTCGATGATCCAGCAGATGTTAACAATTTGATCTCTGGTTTACCTGCCTTTTCTAAAACCAGCCTGAACATCTGGAAGTTCACAGTTCACATATTGCTGAAGCCTGGCTTGTAGAATTTTGAGCATTACTTTACAAGCATGTGGGATGAGTGCAATGGTGCAGTAGTTTGAACATTCTTTGGCATTGCCTTTCTTTGGGATTGGAATGAAAACTGAACTCTTCCAGTCCTGTGGCCACTGCTCAGTTTTCTAAATTTGCTGACATATTGAGTGCAGCACTTTCACAGCATCATCTTGCAGGATTTGAAATAGCTCAACACTAATTCCATCACCTCCACTAGCTTTGTTCATAGTGATGCTTTCTAAGGCCCACTTGACTTCACATTCCAGGATGTCTGGCTCTAGGTGAGTGATGACACCATCATGATTATCTGGGTCATGAAGATCTTTTTTGTATAGTTCTTCTGTGTATTCTTGCCAGCTCTTCTTAATATCTTCTGCTTCTGTTGGGTCCATACCATTTCTATCCTTTATTGAACCCATCTTTGCATGAAATGTTCCCTTGGTATCTCTAATTTTCTTGAAGAGATCTCTAGTCTTTCCCATTCTGTTGTCTTCCTCTTTCTTTGCCTTGACCATTGAGGAAGGCTTTCTTATCTCTCCTTGGAACTCTGCATTCAAATGGGAATATCTTTCCTTTTCTCCTTTGCTTTTTGCTTCTCTTCTTTTCACAGCTATTTGTAAGGCCTCCTCAGACAACCATTTTGCCTTTTCTTTACTAGTGGAATCAAATTTTATGATTTCAGTGGACTTATTTTTCTCATTGAAAAACAGTGTGATGTAAAATGCAAGATGCCATTCTATGGGCCAGGATAGGGTGCTATGATGGTTTGACATGTGTTTAATGCCATGTTTAATGCCTCTTTTTCTAGCCAGTGACCAGTGAAAAATTCAGACTTGCTGGGTAGCATGGGATGGTCTTTTCATTTACTCATTCATTCATGGATGGAATAGTTATAAATGCAAATAATATTCAAATCACAGACTATAATTCTACAACTAGGAGGTTGTTGACTTCTAAGTTAATCAGGAACAATAAGGAGAGAATCACTATCATATGTATATTCAACAACTGTTTAACAGATGGCTGTAATCACTTTCAGTGAAAGACATATAGTAAGTGTTAGCATTCAAAATTCAATGAAATAATGTCTCCGATACTTAATTTCTCCAGATTAGGAAGTACAGATTTCTTCTAGGTATCCCCAAGAAATATACCTAAGAAAGCGACAAAGCACTAAAGAACCTCTTGATGAAAGTGAAAGAGGAGAGTGAAAAAGCTGGCTTAAAACCCAGCATTCAAAAAACTAAGATCATGGCATCTGGTCCCATGACTTATGGCAAATAGATGGGAAAACAATGGAAACAGTGACAGAGTTTATTTTCTTGGGCTCCAAAATCACCACAGATGGTGACTGCAGCCATGAAATCAAAAGACATTTGCTCCTTGGAAGAAAGGCTATGACAAACCTAGACAGCATATTAAAAAGCAGAGACATTACTTTGTCAACAATGGTCTGTCTAGTCAAAGCTATGGTTTTTCCAGTAGCCATGTATGGACATGAAAGCTGGACCATAAAGAAAGCTGAGCACTGAAGCATTGATGCTTTGAACTGTCGTGTTGGAGAAGACTCTTGAGAGCCCTTTGACTGCAAGGAGATCAAACCAGTCAATCCTAAAGGAAATCAGTCCTGAAAATTCATTGGAAGGACTGATGCTGAAGCTGAAGCTCCAACATTTTGGCCACCTGATGTGAAGAACTGACTCACTTGGAAAGACCCTGATGCTGGGAAAGGTTGAAGGTAGGAGGAAAAGGGAATGACAAAAGATGAGATGGTTGGATGGCATCACTGACTCGATGGACATGAATTTGAGCAAGCTCCAGGAGTTGGAGATGGACAGGGAAGCCTGGCATGCTGCAGCCCATGGGGTCTCAAAGAGCTGGACACAACTGAGCAACTAAACTGAACTGAAGAAATTTCCACTCAATAAATGTGTATACCATGAATAAATTATGATCTGATACCAGGAGTCAGAGTTAGAAAATATATCAATATTGTAGAAGAAAGGGGATATCTAATGATAAATTAAAATATTTTCAGAGCATGTATTTCCAGCATCAGCTTTTATTTTGATCACATTATTCTACTATCATAATAAAGACTTGCACAATTACTTGTTTCAATGAGTATTTCTTTTTAAAAATCCTGTTACATAATTTGATCATGATAGGCAACTAAATGCAGTGTAATTTTACTTGCCAACAATGAAGAAAGCTTTCATAATAAAATTAATCAGAACTAAAGGGATCCTAAAATGTCTGTATCACTTGTCAGCAGAGTCTCTATCTTTAGTGTATGTAGAAGATTAAACCCTTTTATTCTAAAAGAATGACAGGAATAAGCACAAAGCAAATAGTTCTCAATATAGATATGGGGGAAATTTGGGTACATTGTAAGTAGTTAGCAATGAAAGGGGAATTTTGATTTAGGAGAAAAGAGAACAGAAATGATATAAAAGTTAATTTTCAATTCTTCAATGTTAACAAAGTGGAAGGGGGGGAAAATTAGATGTTTCATTTTAAAGTTAAAGAAGATTTGAAATGTCATATTGCTTTCAAAGTTAAAATTTACACTGAATATTTCAATTACTCTGTGTGACTCATGGGATGATTGTTCCTTCAAAAAATACCCAGCATATTTTCTAAGATTTTTTTGATACTTTTGAATTGCTGTAATTCATATATGGCTATCTTAGTTTTCTTTTCAAGGTTTTGGATGACATTTATTTTTAATAAGAAAAAAATATATATTGTAATCACTTATAGTTACAAAACTTGGGGAATACAATTACATGATCAATATGGCATCATTTTTACAGAGGAACATAAGATCTGCTGTTCCTCTTTCTGTACCAAACTAAAGGAACACCTGATCTTTCCCATCCATCAGTAAGACTGAGTATCCTTTTTTCTAGGCCACAACCAAGAGATAGAACCTTCAGGCTGCATGTCTGTTAGGGAACACTGCAGTTTATTCACTCAGCAGGGGACCTGTTGTCTTTAAAACAAGTCTATTTATCACCAGCTATCAAATTCAAGGCCACTGCTGCACCTGCTCTGAGTGACTGTGTATTCACAGTTGAAACCTTTGCTCAAACATTTATGTTGGGGCTGAGCAATGTTACCTCTAGAGAACTGAGGAAATATATCCTACTTACCCTGCACGCTATTCTCCCTTCATTGACCAAACTCTGAGTTCTGTAAACCTAGGGGCTTATAAACCAGCATAACGAGAGCGTGCATTCTCTCTGCAGGAGGAAACCCTTCAGCGAGCACGTGAGGAAGAAGAGAAAAGGAAGGAGATCACAAGTCACTTCCAGAACACCCTGACAGATATCCAGGCCCAGATTGAGCAGCAGAGTGAGCGAAACATGAAGCTCTGTCAGGAGAACACAGAGCTTGCAGAGAAACTAAAAAGCATCATTGATCAGTATGAGCTCAGAGAGGAGGTGAGAACCACATCAGACAACTTACAAACACTGCATGTAGATCTGGATCTGGTTTGTGAAGGTTGGGAGGTCGGTTAATAACAAAGTTATGGCCAGCCTTCTCAACTGATTAATATTTAGGTTTGGACTTCTTTTGCTAGACAAAATAAAAACAGATGATATTACAAAATACCTGGCTGAAAGTTATAGAGCATTTCTTCAAAACTAGAATCACTGCAAAGCAGAGGCAATAAACAAGGGGTAGGACATGAATGGATTTATCCTTGAAAATAAAAAATAATATTTCTCAGCCTTTTTTAAACTCTCTCTACAGAACCAAGAAATACCTCATGCATGCCCTTTTAAGAATTACCATGTCATCGAAATTAAAAGTCTGCATTGTATATACCCCACAAATAATAATATGTATACTATTATTATATAGTATATATATATAACAATTATAGTAATAATGGTATTGTTATTTATACTTAGTTTGTGCCAGGCAATGTGCTAAGTATTATACTTTACATACAGTATGTCATTTAACTGTCTCAACAATCTTATGTACTAGATAATAACATATATCCACATTTTATAGATGTGAAGCAAATCCACAAGATTAAATCATGTATCCACAGTCACAAAAGCCAAAAGAGTTTGTTATCAATAGTTTACATTGGGGGACTATAAAGATCTTTCATTACTCCAAGATTATACTTTAATATTTAATATGCTTTGAAGATTCCAGATGCCACCCTCCGGATTTTGATATGTCACATCCCTTTTCCCGCCTCACTTAAGATTTTAAATCTCTGCCTTAGAATGTAACATAACCTAGTCAAAGGAGCTCTGCTGGCCACATGCGAAGCTTTAATCAAGGGGAAAAAACTGATATAGCAGTTCGGTAAATCAAGAAACGTCTCACAGTAGGCCATAATTCCATGCTACCATTTTATCTTGTCACAAAGATCAATCCTGCTCCAAAGTGGAGGTTCAGGAAAAAACAAAAGGGAAGGAGCATCAAAAAAAAAAAAAAGCCCATACTCTGCAGAGAGATCATGTATGGGAATGACCTGGTAGACCAGTTGTATATCCCTAGGACTGTTTCTAAATAAGGCCCAAAGGTCTAATTCTATATGTCCTCTTGCCAATGGGACCCCCTAATGACCAAGAAATTCTCCACACTGAGGTGGAGTCGGAAGCTTCATTTTACCAAGGTAGTCAACAGGTCAAAAGGTGTGGAGGAGGCAGTAGCACTTTGGCATATCAATTCATCTGCAAACTTGAGCCTTGCTTGCCCACCAGAGCAACAGAGTTGATGTCAGGGGGCTCCTGCCTCAGTCCCAGACAAAGGGCCACAGACTGTTACCTCAAGGCTTCCCCACCACCCTTAAGGCAAGCATGTAGAGAATTCACCATGATAAACTGAACTAATATTGTGATTAAATGTGACTGCATATTCACAAAGAGAGCCAAAATACCAAGTGATAGGGCTACAGCCCTTGCAATATACATCACTGTCTTTGGAGCCTAGCATAGTAACTAGTGCCATATCTAACAGTTGTCATATTTAGGAAAATACTGTTGGGACCTTTTGGTGTTGCATTGCTGAACTCTGGCACCTCCACCTTTTGTAGCCACTTTCATGTAGTGCAAAATGCAGGAGATTCCACCAATTTATGACTTTCGTATAAAACCATAAGTGACACCAATGCATTTATTCCCCCTCTTTTTAACTCATAAAACCTAGAGAACACATGTTTATATCAATATTACTTTTTTATACATGTTTTTCAGCACCAATAATAACTCAATTTGATATGTGCACTTTATTTTTCCTCAGCACCTCGACAAAATATTTAAACACAGAGAACTGCAGCAGAAGCTAGTGGATGCAAAACTTGAGCAGGCACAAGAAATGATGAAGGAAGCAGAGGAGCGACACAAACGTGAAAAGGAATATGTATTTATCATATGCATCTATGTGCTTGTCTGGTCTGCCCTGGGGTCAGAGAACCCCTGAGAATGTTTTTGGTAACGGTCATAGAGCACTAGACCGATGGAGGAGGAGCCTAAGCTTCCCTGGAGAATGACACTGGCCAGCCCAGGAGGAAACACTGTACCTATCACTGTAACACTGTATCATGCATCCATTCACCAAACCTTTGGCAAGCACCTTTCATGAGCTATGCACCATTCTAGGTGCTGGCTGTAGTGGTGAACATTCTAGGTGTAGTGGTGAACAAGATGGAGAAGTCCACATCCCAGCATGGAGACTAGAGTCTAACTTGGAAGAGAAAGGCAATAAATAAGCAAGCAAAGAAAGAAGGATGATTTCAGATAATAAGTGCTACTAGGGAAATGAGGAGGAACCTCAAAGGGGCAGAAGGAGGAGGCCTCCTTTAGACTGGGTAACTTGGTGGGCCTCCTGGAGCGAAGGATGCTTGAACTGCTCCCTTTCTGATGATCAGAGAATCAGAGAGGAGGGCCCCAGCAGCAGTGTCTGTAGCAGAGACAAAGGTCCTAATGCTGGAACCAGCTTGGCATACTCCAGAAATAGGAGGTCAGGGTAGCAAGAGTAGGTGCCCCAGTGGGAGAAAATTTCAAAATGAAACTGTAGAGGTAAGCAAGGGGCAAACTGTATTGCTCTGTAAGCTTGAAATATAGTTTGAATTTTATTCTAAATATAATGGGAAAGTACTGGGTACTTTTAGCAAAGGAAGTGACAGGATCTGCTTTGCATCTGTAAAAGGTGACTTTGGCTCATAGGTGGAAAGTGAACTAGAGAGGGGCAAGAGAGCTAGGCAGCAGTCTGGGAAAGATCTGATGATGGCTTTGACTGAGGAGGTGGCAGTGCAGAAGGAGAGCTGGACATGGATAAAAGTTAAGTTTTTAACATAAAACCAACAAGCCATGCTTGTTGATGGTGACAGTGAAGAAACAGAAGAATCAAGGATGACTCCTGCGTTTTGGTTTGAGAAACCAAGTGATATCTTTAACTGATATCTTATTAACCCTAAACACTCCAAAACAGATGAGAGAATTGAGGCCCATAAAAGGATATGTGACTTGCTTAAGGTCACACACTGCTAAGTGACCGGGGTATGCTGGCCACATCTCCAGTACATCTGTCCCCAAATCCCAAGCTCTGTGACAGTACATCACACTCAGATGTGTGTTTCAGAGGCATGAGTTAATGCACGTGTCTACTGCTGGGGAGAGACAACAGACCAGTCATTCAGATTTGGCCATTTAACAACTGATCACAAGCTTTGCATTTACCTAAAACCAGACTGGAATCACTTCAGTTTGTCAGACAGTAATTCTTTTAAAACTTTGGTTTTCAAACATGACAACAAAAGAATGAACTTTGGAAAACATAACCTGGTGGATACTGCATAATTTCAATCAGATGTCCATGTGCTCTTAAAGATTATTAAATCCACTTACACCCTAGCTCTCAAAGGAAGAAATAAAGCATTTATTTATTATTTAGATGTAATTAACCTCAGGTAAACTATGCTTCCTATAGAATATCACTACCTTCAGATTTAATCTATGAGGCACAACAGAGGAACAACCAGGCAAAGATTCTTGTGAGAGAGATTAGGGGCCAGACATGGAGTAACTCAATCTTAGCAAGAAACTAAAATGATGCCCTCTTTTCCTCCAGTGATTTAGCAGAACAGCAGATATAAATCAAAGAAAGGTTCAGTTCAGTTCAGTCGCTCAGTCGTGTCTGACTCTTTGCAACCCCATGAACTGCAGCAAGCGAGGCCTCCCTGTCCATCACCAACTCCCGGAGTTTACCCAAACTCACGTCCATTGAGTCGGTGATGCCATCCAACCATCTCATCCTCTGTCGTCCCCTTCTCCTCCTGCCTTCAATCTTTCCCAGCATCAGGGTCTTTTCAAATGAGTCAGCTCTTCACATAAGGTGGCCAAAGTATTGGAGTTTCAGCTTCAACATCAGTCCTTCCAATGAACACCCAGGACTGATTTCCTGTAGGATGGACTGGTTGGATCTCCTTGCAGTCCAAGGGACTCTCAAGAGTCTTCTCCAACACCACAGTTCAAAAGCATCAATTCTTCGGCACTCAGCTTTCTGTATAGTCCAACTCTCACATGCATACATGACCACTGGAAAAACCAGAGCCTTGACTAGATGGACCTTTGTTGGTAAAGTAATGTCTCTGCTTTTTAATATGCTGTCTAGGCTGGTCATAACTTTCCTTCCAATTTCATGGCTGCAATCACCATCTGCAGTGATTTTGGAGCCCAAAAAAATTAAGTCTGACACTGTTTCCCCATCTATTTGCCATGAAGTGATGGGACTGGATGCCATGATCTTAGTTCTCTGAATGTTGAGTTTTAAGCCAACATTTTCACTCTCCTCCTTCACTTTCATCAAGAGGCTAGTTAGTTCTTCTTCATTTTCAGCCATAAGGGTGGTGTCGTCTGCATATCTGAGGCTATTGATATTTCTCCCAGCAATCTTGATTCCAGCTTGTGCTTCTTCCAGCCCAGCGTTTCTCATGATGTACTCTGCATATAAGTTAAATAAGCAGGGTGACAATATACAGCCTTGACGTACTCCTTTCCCAATTTATGGAACCAGTCTGTTGTTCCAAGTCCAGTTCTAACTGTTGCTTCCTGACCTGCATACAGGTTTCTCAAGAGGCAGGCCAGGTGGTCTGGTAGTCCCATTACTTTTGGAATTTTTCCAGTTTATTGTGATCCACACAGTCAAAGGCTTTGGTATAGTCAGTAAAGCAGAAATAGATGTTTTTCTGGAACTCTCTTGCTTTTTCAACGATCTAGAGGATGTTGGCAATTTGATCTCTGGTTCCTCTGCCTTTTCTAAAACCAGCTTGAACATCTGGAAGTTCACGGTTCACATACTGTTGAAGCCTGGCTTGGAGAATTTTGAGCATTACTTTACTAGCATGTGAGATAAGTGCAATTGTGCAGTAGTTACTTGAGCATTCTTTGGCACTGCCTTTCTTTGGGATTGGAATAAAAATTGACCTTTTCCAGTCCTGTGGCCACTGCTCAGTTTTCCACATTTGCTGACATATTGAGTGCAGCATCTTTTAGGATCTGAAATAACTCAACTGGAATTCCATCACCTCCACTAGCTTTGTTGGTAGTGATGATTCCTAAGGCCCACTTGACTTCACATTCCAGGATGTCTGGCTCTAGGTGAATGATCACACCATCGTGATTATCTGGGTCATGAAGATCTTTTTGTACAGTTCTTCTATGCATTCTTGCCACCTCTTCTCAATATCTTCTGCTTCTGTTAAAAAATAAAGGTAGTCCCCTCACTTCTTCAAAGCTGGTCATCTTCCTGGGTTCCACTCTGACATTTTGAAAGCGCTAAAATAATACATCAGAGCTGGGGTGTGGGGTCTTTCATCCCAAGAACAGGCAGCCTTCTTCCTCCCTCTTCATCATAGCTCATCATATCAGGGCCCCTGAGGGCCAAGCAGCAGCCCACCATGTACGTTGCTGCCACGCAGCTCAGATGACCAGAGGGGTTGCTGCAGGGCTTCTGCACTGCAGCTGCCTCAGCCGTCTCTTACAGTGCACTTCTAGACTAACTAATCTTCACTGCTCACTAAGAGGGATGGAGAAACACATATAACCCCCTTTTATAAATGGAGAGGTCAAGACTTAACTTGGACAAGGAAAAGATGCCTCCAAGTTTTTAAAAACATCGATTTTACTATTTTTGGTTCTAATAACAAAAATGGACATTTTTTTAAAAAATATGGATTAACAAAAAGGAAAAAGTTTCTATCAGCCTATCTTGAAATAAAATAGGAACTTCTTAACTGACAGCCACCTGACTGACTGATGATGGTGATCCATGACATTCACCATTCTCTGTAAGCATACTGACAGATGCTCACAGCATGTTGGATCCTGGGGCGAGTTAGCCACTCTGCAGTATCTAAACATGGTTGCCCAAGCTAAGTAAGACTGAGTCAGATCTTTGCTCCCAACTCTTTTCCCAGTTATTCTTGGTTTTGCATTATGTAAATCAACAGAATAATATATAAACTCATGAAATAAGTGTCAAAAAGTTGTTTCTATAAAAACTATGTTTTAATGCTTCGAAAGCCTAGATGTAGGCAAATAGAAAAAATAAATAAATGATTGTCAAGTTGGATGCAAGCAGATATAAAAGACTGGAAGAAAGTTGTAAAACTCCAAGAGGATTATCCAATCAAGCTGCTTTACAAATTAAATATCTTAGGTCTTCAGGTTTTAGCAATATTGATTTTTTTAAAAAACTGTAAGTCTTATATGGCACATTATGGATATAATTTTTGTAAAAAACAAAAACCCTCTGAATTCCAACTAGGAGATCCATATCCAAAACAAAATTGTAGCCCTACATCAAAACTGATACTTGAGTATACATCTTAAGTTAACATAACATGTCTTACATAGTGTGTGTCATTTTATTGCCAAAACAACTTTTTCAATTTTACCCATGAGTTCCAGTTCTGATTGTGTTTGACATGGTTGCATTTGAAGGGCTGCTTTACAGAAGAGGCAGGAGCCTTCCTTTGTAAACTTTATACAGAATTTGGACCAACAGGTCAAATTTCTAACCTAGTGTTTCTCAAAATAAAATCCATGGACTACCAATATCCAAACCATCTTGGGTATTTGCTCCCTGTGCAGATTCTAATCACACCCTACACTTCCTATCACATTCTCTGAGAAGGATCTGCATTTTAACATGCCCCTCAGGAGCTTCTGATGCATACAATGATGGGGAATAGTGGTCTAATATAAAGGAACAGTTGGGTTTAATACAAAGGAACAGTTGCTCACAATGCCCCAGGTAGGGATAATCTGAAATGTTCAAGCAGAGGCTGAATGATAGCTGGGCAGAATTGCTACAGAGAGGTCCAGAATTTGGTGGGAGGTTGAATTTTGTGTGATTCATGCTCAAGTTGGAGACTTTCCTCTTTTTTTTTCCCATTAGAATCATGAATTTTTAGCTGAGAATAAGACCTTTAAAACTAGTTGTTTTGTTAGTTTTCTGAGATTCTTTATAAAGTTCCCCCAAAATTACTTAAGATTATTTAGCAAGCAATTAAGTTTACACACGAGTTATAACAAACAGCAATTTAAAAGACAATTTGACAGTCTTTCCATGCGTTCTGTCTCCTTACAGCTGCTGAACCAGGCAGCAGAGTGGAAACTTCAGGCTAAAGTGCTAAAGGAACAAGAGACGGTCCTGCAGGCTCAGGTGAAGTAGGGGTAGAGCAATGCATGTGGGGTGTCTTCCTTGCTGTGAACCAAAGGTAGTCTACACAGGCCTTCTACATGGGAGGGGAGGTGAGGACAGGAGTTAGAAAGGAAGAATAACTTCACATTTACTATTTTAAAGTAAAAATAAAGGCCCAGTATTATAATGTATCTAAGAAAAATAAATGCTCTGCACCAACAACTTCTGGTCAAAAGGCCTGCTGACATACAAATGAGAGTCAACCAGAATAGGATGGTGGCCGGTCCTCCCCATCTGTTCACAGGTCCTCTCTCCCTCCTGCCCCACCAACCACTCAAGGTAAGGCGTGATGGAACCTGTGCAAATGCACCATCTATGATTCCCAATACTGAAAATGTCCCTACTTGTTTGATATTATTTACAATAAAAGGAAATTAGAAAAAGAGAGTCAGCACCCACATTTTCGTGCTGGCCTTGCCAGTGCTGAATGATTAGAAATGGTGGACAAGTCATAAACCATTTTTATTTGGTCTCATGTAGTTATGAGTGTATTTTTATTAGACTATGGGAAATCGTATTGCAGGCTCAAAAATAAAGCTTCATGCAACAGCTGGCTCTGGAGGAAAGCCAGACTTCTCCCATGTTTCTGGGGCCCTTGCGGCTCTGCTCATCCTGCCATAAGCTGGGCCACAGAGTCCTAGTTCCCTGGCTGGGAGAAATGCCCACATGCTAAAGGGACTATAAAATCACACAGTAAAAATTCAACAAAAGCGAGAAAATCAGAAGCCTTCCAAAACTGGGCAGCATTAAGATTTGAATAATTCACTTATAAATGTTTATGTGCTGACTGCTGAATACTTGTCCATTGTAAATATTAAAAAATTATTCATTGTATGAATGAACAAGTTCAATGAATATTTGTTTATTTTTTAAAAGAAAATTTAAAAAACAAGAAGCAAAATTACAAATTATATCACTGCATAGACAAAAACAAAGATAACATTTTGATTTCTAACCTTCCTAAAGAACACTTTTCCGAAGTGTTTACCAAACACAATGATGACTTGTTTCCCCACTAATATACCAAAACAGTTTTTAAATATTAATTACATAGAAATTTGAACAATGTATTTTTTCACTATCAATAGATTCAAAGGACTCAGAATTAAAAAACTAAACTATAAAGTTACACACCCAAGATCATCCTTTAGGCAGTCATGGAACACATCATTTCATGGTGTGGGGTGGGTGGCAGGCAGCGACAGTTCCGGAGCCAGAAGTAGGCAGAGGGAAGGAGGTGTGACCTGACTGTCGGGGGGCAGGGGTTGGGGAGGGGAGAATACAGAGCATCAGGTTAGGGCTTCTGGCTCTCTGTCCCATTCACAGCACAAAGCCTTGAGGTATACAACAGACAGTACTTGAAGCTATTCAGTGTTCACAACATCTGTTAGAAGCAATCTCTACTCTTCTATGCTAAATGAAGAATACGTTAATACCATTAAGACTCTGGGCTAGAGAGTGGTTCATTCAGCTGGTATCGGAAAACAGGCCTTTAATGACCTGAAAGGTATGATTTAATTTCCCACCTATACTCCCTCAAGTTTGGAAAAGAAGAAACCAGGGTCTAGACTTGCCAGTGTTCCTTGTTCAATCCTCAAAACAGGGCTGCATCCAGGGAGCAGATGGCTCCTCTGCTGAGAAGCTCTCTGATTCTGTGCACTTCACCTAAACCTCCCTGGACCTAACCTTCCAGGTCTGTAAAACAAGGATGCTGCAATGTATCTAAGATCCCAAGCTGGAGTCCTTTGACCTCTTGGAGGCCCATTACTTTTCAGTATTTCCAAAACATAACAGCATATGAGGCAGCAGCTGCTATCTAAAATGTAGTTGTTTTTGACATTATAACAGCTTCGCTCAGCAGCATGGATGGTAGCTATCCGTATAGTTGATTCAATTTATAAAAGGAAAATGAGTTCATGTAATACATGAAGTTTGTTTTCAAGTTATGCATGCAAAGCACTTAATTCAGTGCCTGTCCCATAATAAGCATAATTAATTCAACTAATATTTACTGAGCATTTAAGTGCTTGGTATGGTTCTACATGTTAGAGATATACTACTCAATAAATGAACCAAAAATGCCTAATTAAACTCACAATCTAGTGATAAAAATGATATTAATTAGAATGCTAACAACTGATCAGTGTATGAGTTAATACTTGTGCTATCTCATGGGTAAGGACACACATAGTAATAAATGAGACAAAGAAGTTCTTTAGCTGCTAAAAAGCTTCAGAACCACTGGAAAAGATGATCTCAGGACCCTGTTCAGCTCTAGCTCATGAACACAGAGAACTTCCAGGGCTGTAGAAGCGTGGTACTAAACAGAGTTAACCCTGCCTCCTCCATCACTTTGCTTTCCATGGTGGTTGGCTCTCTCTGCAAGGACCCTCTTGTCTATCTCTTTTGCCTTCAAGGCATTTTCAAAACTTCAATAATTACTTAAACATCAAAAAGAACATGGAGGCCCCGAATCCCTACATGTAATAATGCTTAAACAAGCTTCTATTGAAAAGTATCAACACTATATTTTTTAAAAGTTTAAACCTTAAAAAACAAAGTCTGTTGTTGTTCAGTCACTAAGTCATGTCCAATTCTTTGCTACCTCATGAACTGCAGCACCCCAAAATTCCCTGTCATTCACTATCTCCTGGAGTTTGCTCAAACCCCTATCCATTGAGTCAGTGATGCCATACAATCATCCCATCCTCTGTCACCCCCTTCTCCTCTTGTCCTCAATCTTTCCCAGCATCAGGGTCTTTTCCAGTGAGTTGGCTCTTCACATCAGGTGGCCAAAGTACTAGAGCTTCGGCTTCAGCATCAGTCATTCCAATGAATATTCAGGATTGATTTCCTTTAGGATTGACTGGATTGGTCTCCTTGCTGTCCAAGGAACTCTGAAGAGTCTGCTCCAGAAACAGTTCCAAAGCATCAGTTCTTCAGCACTCTTCTATGGGCTTCCCAGGTGGCACAGTGGTAAAGAATTACCTGCCAATGCAGAAGATGCAAGAGACACGGGTTCCATCCCTGGGTCAGGAAGACCCCCTGGAAGAGGAAATGGCAACCCATTCCAGTATTCTTGCCTGGAAAATTCCATGGACAGAGTAGCCTGGTGGGCTACAGTCTATGGGGTCACAAAGAATTGGACACAACTGAGCTCACACACCTGCATGCATGCATGCAGCCTTCTTTATGGTCCAACTCTCACATCCATACATGACTACTGGAAAAACAATAGCTTTGACTAGATGGACCTTTGTCAGCAAAGTGATGTCTCTGCTTCTTAATATGCTGTCTAGGTTGGTCATAGCTTTTCTTCCAAGGAGCAAGCATCCTTTAATTTCATGCCTGGAGTCACCATCTGCAGTGATTTTGGAGATAAGAAAATAAAATCTACCACTGATTCCACTTTTTCCCTTTCTATTTTCTATGAAGTGATGGGACTGGATGCCATGATCTTAGTTTTTGGAATGTTGAGTTTTAAGCCAGCTTAAACAATGTCTATCACAGATGATTTTGCAAAGCACTCAAACACTTCCTTTGGTATGACAATTAAAAGAGTGGGTTGATAGGAGGGAGACATCTTAGTCCCCATTTCTATGGTCTGAGCAAAGAAAATATAAAGGACAGATTGTGTTTCCCTAGCTTGAAGTCACTTTTCAGCCCTAAAACAATAGCTTGCCAGTCTGGGGCATGATTCTCACTTAGGGAAGAGACATCTGGCTTTCAATTATACAAACCAAGGCAATAGAGTAAATGTCAGAGATGATCAATGGAATACAACTGTGGCTACAAATAGAGTGTTCATTGGATCAATAAGGCTGAAGATGGTGGTAGATGTGGAAAGTCAGCAATATCAACAAAACACAGCATTGCAGACACAAAATACTACCCAAGGGGAAAGATCAGTGAGTCCACTCTTAAAGACAAGTAATCACAGTCTTTAATCTCAGAAGACCTCACTGTATCTATTTAAGATGAGAGGAGATTTCTCTGAAACTATAATAATTGAATTAGTTCCCAAGCCAAATCACCTAAGTTGGCTAAACAATTCCTAGAAAACTTTGTTTCATATATGCTATGAATGTTTGTAATTAAAATTTCAGTCAGTTCAGTTGCTCAGTCAGGTCTGACTCGTTGTGACTGCAGCACACCGGGCTTCCCTGTCCATCACTAACTCCTAGAGTTTACTCAAACTCATGCCCATCGCATCGGTGATGCCATCCAACCATCTCATCTTCTGTTGTCCCCTTCTCCTCCCGCCTTCAGTCTTTCCAAGAATCAGGGTCTTTTCCACTGAGTCACTGGCATTAAATGGCCAAAGTATTGGAGGTTCAGCTTCAGCATCTGTCCTTCCAATGAATATTCAGGACTGATTTCCTTCAGGATTGACTGGTTGGATCTCCTTGCAGTCCAAGGGACTCTCAAGAGTCTTCTCCGACACCACAGTTCAAAAGCATCAATTCTCTGGTGCTCAGTTTTCTTTATAGTCCAACACTCACATCCATACATGACTACTGGAAAAACCATAGCCTTGACTAGACAGACCTTTATTGGTAAGGTAATGTCACTAATTCTTAATATGCTGTCTAGGTTTGTCATAGCTTTTCTTCCAAGGAGCAAATGTCTTTTAATTTCATGGCTGCACTTACCATCATGTGCATTGATTTTGCAGCCCCCAAAAATAAAGCCTCTCACTGCTTCCATTGTTTCCCCATCTATGTGCCATGAAGTGACAGGACTGGATGCCATGATCTTAGTTTTCTGAATGTTGAGTTTTAAGCCAATATTTTCACTCTCCTCTTTCACTTTCATTAAGAGGCTTTTTAGTTCTTCACTTTCTGCTGTAAGGATGGTGTCATCTGCATATCTGAGGTTACTGATATTTCTCCTGGCAATCCTGATTCCAGCTTGTGCTTCATCCAACCCGACATTTCACATGAGTACTCTGCATAGAAGTT